TTGTGGTGCTGGAGAATAATATTGAATATACCGTGAACTGTTTGGAGAACAAACAGGTTCAACCTGGAGAGGGTGAAACCAGGCTATTCCTAGGAGGCAGGGATTTTGAAGCTTCATCTGACCTACTTTGGGTATATTGCAAGGAGGGACCTTAAAGTGTCCTTGAAGAGGCACATCATGCTTGGGAGGATCGAGGGACAGCATAAGAGAAGAAGATCCTGGATGAGATGGATTGACTCAGTGATTAGGGCAAGGGCAGTAGGTGTGTAAGAGACAATGAGGTTGGCTCAAAATAGAGCAGGGTTCAGCTTGTTGTGCACAGAGTCTCTATGAATTGCAAGGAACTCAACAGTACATACTACCACCACCTATATATCTGAGTCAATGTGAGTTGGCCTGGCTTTACATATTAGAGCATAAACCAGTAAAGATTGAGATTGGATTTTTCTGGTATTTATTTGCCTTGTCCTCTAATAATCCAGGCCAAGCATGCAAGAAGGGGCACTGCTGTGTACTCGCCATCAGCAGACATGAGAGTCTGACAACCCAGAAATTATAAAAGGCTAGGAGGCTGAGGGGTAGCTTAGTTTAGGATGTAGGACGTTTTGCAGATGGCTGGGGTGGATGCCACGTAGCTACACCCTGTGTGTGGTCACTTCGCAAAACTCTGCCAGTGCCTCTCCTTCCACTCCCCTACCATGGTCTTCGCAGTTCATTCAGGGAGTTAATGTGTTATTTAGTTATGCTCATTGACACAGACCTATAAGGATTCATTTCCAGAATGTCATTGGCTCCTTGAGAACCTTTTCCTGTTTTGGAAGCTAAAGGGTAAGATTTCAAAAATCAGGGAGAGTTTTAAAACGAAGAGACCCCACCATCTCAGGGTAGACACTAGTCTCTTATGGCCGGCATCCCACCTTGCGGATGTGTCTGATGTAGAGGCCGCTTTGTGCCTCACTCAGTGGCCGAGGAGTCATTGCAACTGTTTTTTCTCATGTGCTGTTTTTCTATGTATCAGAAACGATGAGGCTGTTCCCATTTGTCATCATGTAAACCCCTCCCCAGCAAACATGGAGAGCGATCCCTGCGCACATTCTAAAGAAAGTTTGCTCTCTTCCTTCATGCTGCACATTCATTGACAAGAACTCATGGCCACATTTTCTTTTATTCCAATTACTCCACCCATGGCTTAATGCCAACAATGAGTAAAATGGTTATAAAAAGAAAACTGGAATTTTCCACTGAAGAATTAAAAGATGTGTACAGGGAACAGACCTTCCTGTTGAGGGATCCATTGGAGAGTTTCTCCAACCAGAGATGGTCCCCGATACTGGACAGTGGAGTCTGGGAGTGTCAGAGCAGCATCTGAGAAGGGGCCCTGCAGACCTGGTCCCCTATGCCAGCCTTGCTTCTGCTCTGCACTTGTGCCAGGCCAGCCCCTGTGGCTTTGTTTCTGATAGTGAAGCCCAAGCCAAATTTAGGCAACATGTCTGGTATAAGGTCACTGAGCAGTTGCCCAAGAAGTTTCATTATAAGGGATTTCTAGACATAAAATATCCCTTCTTTAAGGTAGCACATCATCAAAGTAATATAGTTAATGATACTCTATTTAATCTAAACATTTTGTCTTGCTCAAGTGTTCTTTTCCTAGTTAATATTAAAAAAGAACATTTTTTAAATAAATTTTAATTAAAGTTTAGAGACTTAGGGTTTCCAGTCATTCATTATTGCACCTTTCTCCCTGCCCACCCCCTCCCCCTCAATTCACTCTTCCATTGTTAGGCAATCCCTCCCCCCAAGTCCACTCCACTATTCAGCCTTTACTCTGGACTTCTCTAATAACAAGAATACCCATTCATATATCTTTTAAACAGTTCTTTCCCTTATCTCTTTCAATTTGATATACATCATTCCTCCCCTCCTTTTCTGTCTTCCCTCAAGCCTGATGTCAGTCCCGTTTTATAACAGTGGCCCTATGCAATATTTGTCCTTTTGTGACTGAGATATTTCACTCAGCATAATGTCCTTCAGGGTCTCCCATCCATTTTGCATAATGCTATGTAGTATTCCATTGTGTGAATATACCAGAGCCTCACTATCCATTCATTTGTTGATGGGCACTTGGGTTGTTTCCAGCTCTTTACTATTGTGAACAAAGCCGCGATAAACATGGGTGTACATATTTCTGTTTGGGTGGCAGTTATGGGTTCTTTAGGGTAAATTCCCAGTAGTCGAATTGCTGGGTCAAATGGTATTTCTACTTGCAACTTTTTGAGAAAGTGCCATATAGCTGTCCATAGTGGTTGCACCATTTTACATTCCTACCAATAATGAATAAGGGTTCCAGTTTCTCCACAACCTCACCAGCATTTGATGTTTGCTGCTCTGTTAAATTTTGCTATTTTTACTGGGGTGAGATAATATCCCATAGTTGTTTTGGAAGAGAACATTTTTAAAAGTTTGCACTAGAGGAATCACTTAGGTTGTAAAAATTATACATATAAGTGTCTTTACTTATTATAGTTACTATACCATTTACTATCTCTAACATTAGATAAATTACTTAGCCCTGCTCCACCTGTTTCTTCAGTAAGACGACAGAAAGCACTCGTTGCTTGCAGGTGTCATGAGGATCAGGGGAGTTAACTAAGCACACTGCCTCACTCCTGGTGGGCACTTGATAACTGTCAGCTGCTAGACAGAAGAGATCCCTATTTGTCACCATTTGCAAGAAAGGTGACGCAAGAAAATGTGATAATTAAAGAGCAGAATCTTTAATATCACATGCAAGCAAAATATCGCTGAAGATTATTTACAAATGGCTAAAAAAGAAGAGTACATTGACAGGAAACTGCCAAAAGTTCAGGCGAGGTTTAAGAAGAGGCTGTGACATGGGATATATCATTGCTGATGACAGCTGCATTTTGTCAGAGAGCAGAGCATATCAGAAGAAAGTAGATTTGTGTTTAATCGACTATGAAAAAGTATTTGACTGTGTGGATCATAACAAACTAAGGCTAATACTGAGAAGAATGGGACACTTAATTGTACTCATGAGAAATCTCCACCTAGATCAAGAAGTTATCCAAAAGAAACAAAGGTTTAAAATCAGGAAGGGTGTGTATCAGGGTTGTATTCTTTCCCCATGCCTATTTAATCTGTATGCTAAGCAATTAGTGAAGGTGGACTCTATGAAGAGGAATGTGACATTAGGATTGGAGTAAGACTCAGTAACAACCGAGTAGGACAGGAAACGTGTGCTGCAGATGAAGGATTATGGTCTTTAGCATGGATTACACCTCAACATCAAGGAAAATAAGGTCCTCACCACTGGGACAATAAGCAACATTATGAAAAGGGATTGAGGTTGTCATTGATTTCATCTTGCTTTGATCAACAATCAATATCTGTGGTACTAACAGTCAGAAGACCAGGAGACACATTGCATTGGGAAAGTTGGCTGTCAAGGACTTCTCCAAAATACTGAAGAACAATGGAGTCAGTTTGAAGTCTAAGGTGCACCTTAGTAAGCCTGATTCAGGCCCATGGTCTTTCCAATCATTTGCTATGCATCTGAGAGCTGGACAAAGAATAAGGATGGCAGAAGAATTGATGCCTTTGAGCTGTGGTGTTGGGGAAGAGTGCTGAACATCCCATAGATGGCCAACAAAACAGTCATGTTTTATAAAAAGAGCAGCCAGAGTGCTCCTTGGAAGCAAAGATGGCAACGCTTCGTCTCTCTTCCTTTGCAAATGTGGATAGGAGAAGCTATTCCTTAAAGAAGGACATGATGCATTCCCCATTTGGAGCAAAGGAAATAAAAGACTATTAGTTCACTGGAGTAATGACCTCCACTGTCCACAACCCAAAGACTAGAAAAGCTATGAAAGGGGTCATAACAGCAGGTCCCTGACAGAGTGGGAGAAAAAAAAGGAGAAAGACTGGTGGAACCCCAAGTCTATGGCCCTTAGTTACCTTTCAATCCTGGAATGGAAATAAATCATCCTGGGACTCAACTTTTACCAAACAAGAGATAGGCCTGTAAGGCTGTTACTTCTCACAGGAGGAACACACTGCTTAAAACAGGCAACCGCACAAGATTCAAAGGCCAGCACCTGCCCAGGGAGAAAGCTCAGAAAGCAGGCAAGGTAGGAAAGGAGGAGGAATGAAAACAGGAGACACATGAGGAGAAGTGGAAGAGTGCTGTTAAAATGCAGGAACTGCAATTTGGGTCACAAAACATGTATGAATTGCTGACTGGAAAACCTGTTTGCTCTGTAAATTTTCATTCAGATCACACACACACACACACACATACAAAAGACTATGGGGCTCCCCTTTCTTTTTTTCAAAACAAGTACCTTTAAATACTGGAATTTATAATAGAGGAGATGTTTTATAGTACTTGCATGCAATGAAAACTCATTAAATAAATGTATGTTTTTGAAAGAAAGGATGAGCTGACCCTACTTCTCAATGTGTTACAGGTTTTGAGGAAAGATTAGTTTTCACATATAACATGCACTGAGGGAATACTGGAAACTAATGTGAGGGTGTTGTACTTTTTGCAAAAACTGTAACACACAGGTTGTGTAAAAATACAATACTTACCAATAGATTTGAGAAGGCAAAGCTAAATGCTACTAATATGTCTAATAAAAGTTAAAGAACATTTAAGTATTAAGCTGTGTTAAGTAATTAACAGTACATTTAAAAGGGCTCTCTTAAATTTAAATTCTATATAAAAATTTATATATTCTATATGCTAAACAACAACATATGCTAAAGTCTTCCAGCTTTATGATTTACAAATATTTTCTTACATTTCTTGCTTTTAAAAAAGTACAGATGTTTGAAAAAATTTTTAAATTTAGATATGACAGTGTTCCTTATATAATTTATTAAAGTGCTCAAATTATTATACATTTATTATAAAGTCTATACAAGAAAAAAAAAAGGAAAACCCAAGTTAAAATGTAGCATTTTTATTGTTTGTGTTCTCACAGAGGCTCCCCAGACTCCATGGGAGGCGGAGGACCACAACTGACCCCCTCAGGCCACTGCTTTCTCATTTCACCTAAGAAGTCATAGGTCTGCTCGGACAGGTCAAAGGGTGCATGGATGCCCTCTGGTGACAGGAGCGCAGGGAGCACACCCTCCTTCTCCTGGCTGCACTTCAGGAAGTCGGCAATGGCCTTCCAGCGCCCAGCCTCTGCCTCCTCCTCTGCCCACCTGAAGGGCGGCAGGGACGTGGAGTGGAGCAGCGGGTACACGCAGTCGTGGTACACCTGTGTAAATGCAGACTTCAGGAACTCTTTGTCTCTCTGGAAAAAAACGTCCCACAAATCAGCATGAACAGACCTAGGTCACAATTTTAAAAGTACTCAGTTCTATTAATTCTGTTAATGAAAAGGCTAAGGGGTGGAATGAAGGGGGCCACCAGCTCCATTGGCTGGAACTAGTCCTTCAAGCACGAAACAGCACCCTCTGAAGCTGACACAGACTAGAGTCACCATGGAGCGGAGTGAGCAGTTCTCTGAGAGCCGGGAATGGTGTCTCAGAATGTGGGTGATGGCCAGGCTGTGAGGGGGTCTCTCACACTCTGCTATGGACACAAAGATGGTCAAGTCTACTCGTGGTGACAAAGCTGTAGACTCAGGTAGACATACCTTTACACTGATCAGAGAGAACTGTAAAGCCACCAGAGTTCTGCATGAAAACTAGAGAAAGTAAACTGAAGGAGGAATGCCTGGCTTGTGGGATCCACCTCCATTAACAAGAGTTTGGCCACTAGCAGTATCCGGCACTACTGGTCAGGACCAGCAGCCGCCAGGAGACAGGAATTTCAGTGAGCACGCAGGCTGATGAAAAAGACTACTACTACATGACAGAGAGTCTTCATACCCATCTCACTGCTCCTCCAGCCACAGGGTGGTTACGGGGGACTCCCACAGGTCAGCTCCTGGCACAGTTTTGTGCTAGACCCGTACTATGTCTCCCAATTTCAGCAAGGGTGGAGAGTGTATCTCCAAACCTAGTCTATGGTCTCCACTGCCATACAGTCAATTCTGAAACTCCTGTGGAGTTTCTGAGGCTATAAATCCTCACGATGAGAGAGCCCATTGCTCTCCCAAGAGAAGCTGGTGGATTTGAAACATTAACTTTTCTGCTAGTAGTTGGACATATTATACCCTACATCACACAGGAAGCTCAAGTAAGAGCATGGGATCTGTAATTTTTAAAAGTAAAAATTAGTATTTTAATTTGTTCCAGCCAATTCTTTGTTATATGTATTCATACTTCAGATCAGAAGCTAGATCCCATAGGCCAAGACTGGCCCACAGCCTGTTTTATAAATAAGTTTTCATATGAATGCAAAATGTTTTGCTGTATATGTATCATTGTGGCTGCTTCAGTATTAGAATGCCAGAGTTGTGAGGCAGGGACTGAGACCACAAGGTTTCAAAGCTTCAAGTCTTTACTATCTGGCTTTTTACAGAAAAGATCTGTTGCACTGAGGGTGACAGACATGAACCCACTAAGGAGAAGGCCAGTTGTTTGGTAATGAACATGCTGCTATGGTACTGTAAAGCGGCTCTGGCAGTGCAGTGCACTGCTAGCAGTGTTTCTAACCAAAACCCAAGCAGTTCAAATCTACCGGCTGCTCTGTGGAAGAAGAGACCGACACTTAGCAGAGGGCCCTCTTTACTGCCTGGGACCCCTGGAGGGGGTGCTGCTTACAGCCTTGGATGTCTGGTGGTGGGCTGCTGTGTGTGTGAATCCTGCTCGATGGCAGTGGGTGGGAGCTATGCCCTAAATCTGAACCTCATGTTCTTTTTTTTTTTTTTTTTAACCTCATGTTCTTACAACACAAGGTTCAGGCTCTGGCCAATTTCTTCTTTTTCCTTACCTGACACAGATTCTGAAAGCCAGATTTTTTTTTTTAATTTTAAAGAGAAATTTCAGTCTATGGTGAAGATTTATCTTCAAATAAAACTTAGTGATCTGTTTTGGCCAAATGTTTTCTGTGTAGCATTAGTTCCTATGTAGGGAGATCTGGTGGTCTAGCAGTAAGAACCTGCATTGCCAAAGCAAAGGTATGTGGTTCAAACCCACCAGCTGCTCCATAGGAGAAGGATGAGCAATCTCTTTCCACGCAATTTACAGCCTCTGAAAACCCACTGGAGAATCAGCTATGGGTTGGTTCTGACTTGATGGTACACAACAAATAAAACAAGTTCCACGTGGGCAGCCATACTGGCCTAGTCTGAAGAGAGTCTGTGTCTCTAGAGGTCTGAGTCCACCAGAAGCTCTGCAAGAGAAAAGACGTGTAATCTCTCCTATTGCTATTTGCAGTCTCAACAACTTAATGGAGGGTGCTTACGAGTTAAAACAGATCTGACAGTAGAGAGTTTTGGTTTTAGTTTCCATGTTACGGAACAAGTATCTCTATTATTTTTGGAATGTATCTTTCCAACCCTGATCATAAAATTTATTGTGACTATCGCTGCTTTAGCCCCACATGAGGCATATTCGAACACACATGAAAACACTGCACTTTGCAACTACTCCGCATGGAAAACCTTACCTTCTTGGATCTTTTTAATGTGCTTTCCTTCTCAGCCCATGAACTCTAAAAAGAAAACAGAAACATAATATTAGTCCATGTCTTCCTAAGTCTTCCCTATACTTCAGCAACCTAACTCTCTAGGAACTTAGAGAAAGGGTTAAAAATGCTGCATCAGCTTTTCCGCGCTACCAGCACAAGGGTTCATAGGGCATTGTTCTGGTTCCCATCATAACTTAAAAGGGAAACTTCCACAATGTCCAGAGCCCTTGATGTCCTGCACATGGAGGAGGATGTCCTCAAATTCCTTGCAGCAGGAACGCATTTGGGCGGCACCAACCTTGACTTCCAAATGGAACAGTACATCTACAAAAGGAAAAGTGATGGCATCTACATCATAAACCTGAAGAGGACCTGGGAGAAGCTGCTCTTGGCTGCTCGTGCCATTGTTGCCATTGAAAATCCAGCTGATATCAGTGTCATTTCCTCCAGAAATACAGGCCAGAGAGCTGTTCTGAAGTTTGCTGCTGCTACTGGGGCCACTCCTATTGCCGGGCGCTTCACTCCTGGAACCTTCACTAACCAGATCCAGGCAGCCTTCCGGGAGCCTCGTCTTCTGGTGGTTACTGATCCCAGGGCTGACCACCAACCTCTGACAGAAGCATCTTATGTTAACTTGCCCACCATTGCCCTGTGTAACACAGATTCTCCTCTGCGTTATGTAGACATTGCTATCCCGTGGAACAACAAGGGAGCTCACTCTGTGGGTCTGATGTGGTGGATGCTGGCCCGGGAAGTCCTGCGCATGTGTGGCACGATCTCCCGGGAGCACCGGTGGGAGGTCATGCCCGATCTGTACTTCTACAGAGATCCGGAAGAGATTGAAAAGGAAAAACAGGCTGCTGCTGAAAAGGCTGTGACCAAGGAGGAGTTTCAGGGAGAATGGACCGCCCCTGCTCCTGAATTCACTGCTACTCAGCCTGAAGTGACCGACTGGTCCGAAGGTGTCCAGGTGCCCTCTGTGCTGATTCAGCAGTTCCCTACTGAAGACTGGAGTGCTCAGCCTGCTGTCTTTTAAAAAGTGGAAATAAGGTTGACGGAAAATAAACAATGCGTTTCATAAAAAAAAAAAAAAAATATGCTGCATCAAATTTCCAGGTATAAGAAGTGAGACTGTAATCAGGCAGACATCTAGTTCTAATGATCCAGAAGGTTAGGAAAGATACTTTAGAAGTCCATGATTACTAGAAGCCAAACAAAAGTTAAACATCATCAGCCAAACACAAATCTATCCATGCAAATTACACAAAGCTAACTGAACAAGATCTAGGAGGAGTAACATTTTGAGTTAAGGCTGTAGTGGAACTAGGAAACACCTAGTTTCACACTTCTCTAGAATACCACTTGCAATGAAGATGACAATTGTCAGGATTAGACAGATTAAACCAGTTTATAAGGCCTCACAAGTGTCTTTAGAGAGATACTGAATCCATGGTGCTTGCATATGGTATTAATGATACTGCTCACTAATTTCCACATTCTGCTGGACCAACTGTTGGGGGGAAGGAACGGGAACAAATATTAATCTTTTCCAGTTAGCTGACCAGGAAACTATCTTTCTTTTTTCTTAGCTGAAAATGATCTCCATGCTCGGACTGTACCTTGAAAACTCAGTTTATTTAACCAATCATTGTGTATTTTTATTCTTAGGACAAAGTCAGTGACTCTCCTAAATCAAGGTATAAACAATGGGCAGGAACCTGCCTGGGTGCAGATAGCTGTCATCTGTCTATCAGGACCTATCAGACCTGCCAGTGAAGGCCTGCATGCAGAACTCCCACCCTATGATAGCTAAAGGATGTAGATGCGCTTCTAACCATCAGCCAGTGAAATCTCATGGGTCACAATGGTCTGACCCACTAGGAGGGCCAAGCAGAGCTCCATTATTTTATGCCTGGTGTTGTCATGAACCATCTCTACCAGGCCAGGAAATATAGCCTGGGGGAGTAATATCTGCACTGAGAGTGTAGGGACTAAACCAAGTTGTCTAGATAAGTAGGTATGAATTGGGAAGAATCACCTAAGAAAACCACCTAGGGCAGGTGACAAACTTTCTAAGGTGAGAGTTGTTGGGAACTCGGTAGGTTTACAGGATGAGGAACCTACCCTGAGTGCATCCATAATATCAGGCTGCTCCAGGAGCCTGGGGAAGGTGGCCAACACTGGGTGACCAATTAGATCTGAAATGGAAAAGGACAGAAAGGATCTCATACATATTCTGTTGCAATAGATATAGTGAGCATTAAAATTACTGTACTAAGTGGCTCATTGATAACCCATTTTATGCATCCTAGCCTCTAAGAGAACCCAAAGCTATCTCCTGAACAGTTAAGGAGTTCTGATATGAGTCTTAATCAATGAAAACGGAGCTTTTAGGGTGAGGAGTGTAGAAACTATGAACAGTATAAAGACTAGAAGATGTTGTTACTATTTCCCCTCCCCCATCCTCTTTTTCTTCCTTCTGACTGTGGTGTAGCAAAGGCATCTTCCAATCAGCAGGCCACCTGAGTCAGCAGCAGGGAGGCTGAGAAAGGCCCCTCAAGTGTGACTCACATCTCGGCCTCACAGGTGGTCCTTAGGGAAGGATACTGGGTCAGCACATGGGGCCCAGGGAAGATGCTGGATAAAATGGCAAAAAAATCAGGAATTGAGGTCTCTGTGCTACATGACTAAGCACCATACAGGAGAAGGAGCTCTGGTGGTAAGAAACTGCACTGCAATCCTGAAGGTACACGGTTCAAATCCATCAGCTGCTCCATGGAAGAATGGGTAATCTCCTCCCAGGCAATTAAAAACCTTTGAAAATCAAATGTAGGGCCAGCTATGCGTCAGTACTCAACAAGAACATGCAAGTAGCAGTATGTGACAGACCTATGTAAAGTGCATGCCAGGATGGCAAAGGAAAAAGTATTTTAAAACCTGAGTATAGAAAAATATTTTCTTAAAAGAAGGAAATGGCAAAAAATAAGGCTCCAGGAATAGATGGTATACCAATTGACATATTTCAGCTAATAGATGCTGCCCTGGATGTGCTCACCAAGTTGTGCCAAGAAATCTGGAGAACAACCACTTGGCCAACTGACTGGAA